ATGTATGTATGATATTTATTTGAGGGAAGTATTTTCTGAATTATTTCTGGGCTTAATTTTATTTTGATGCTTAGCGATCCGAAAGTTTTTGACGGTAGTGTATACACGATCTTGTACACGGACTTCCATCTCTATTAGGTCCGTCTAGGCTCCTGAAAGCTTTAAATGCGGTTTCTGCTCTTTCGTTGACTATCCCAGCTATAGCCTACCTTCGGGTTCTGTACGGATCGTACACTTTTTATTCCTTTCATTATTTATTCCTTCTGTTTCGACCGTTTCAAATAACGATGAATTATAAACAGTAATCCTGTGTTTCTCATGTTCGAGTCTTTATATGTATAAAGAACATTCCGTTGTGAGTACTAGACTTTTTGACAATGACATTTTTTTGAGTTTAATTTCGTGCATTAACTTTATTATTTAGTCTCTGTTTCTTGTCGTTCATCCTTTACCATTTAGTATCACGATTTCAAACCCGTAAGCTGTTTATCTGAATTAACTTCCAACTGAGTTATATATCGAACTATCCCAGCGTTTTCCAATAACGCTATTGTGAACTTTTCCCGCAGGAGAAAACGGAGCAATAACTTCTGCCAAAGCGCGCTACAACGCCTTACGGGTGCATTGTACAGTTCCCCGTAGTGCCGCATTGTTGTTCGCAATTAAAAACAAAAAATGTTCCGTCCATGTTTTGGAGCTATTCAAAACACGGATCCTTGTATGCGATTTAGTCTTTTAATCTGCATAACAACTCGTTGTATAGAACCGGCGATATATGAAATAATTGCCGACGCTGTAATACCCATGGTCCGGGTCGTAACTGGGAAAAACGAACGGGGAGAATTGTATGTAATTACCCATATAAAATTTAATACCAACAATTTTAGCCAAACGCTCTTCCGATAATTGCACGCGATACTTGCTCTGAATATTCATAAATGTTCGTCATTTCGCTTCCCGTTTTATGAAACCTTACGATTCGATTTCGCAACACGCTTTTCGCGTTTCGTGTAAAATATATTAGCATAATCAGGACAGGCACGTCCAGTTCCGGAAGGTTTCCTCATATCATGTGTGGAATATAGGTTGCAGCGTAGTAGCGGCTCTCATAATTCATTGACGGATATGAAACTCCCTTTATCCTTCGGTCCGGCGTTATCCTTGGAGCCTGTAACCAATTAATAAACCCTCAATTAATGTGTAATCGGGTGCACGGTCTGGGCGTCCGATTGAAAATTAATGGCCTCAACCGTTGTCGCGTAAATTAATTGTGACGCGGCGCTGCGTCGTGGTCGCGGACGTCGGACAATTTTATAGTCACCGCTCGTCGTCTAGCGGTTGTTTATTAAAATTACGCCGCCTTTCTAGCACATAAATTTCTGATCCAAATTCCTGATACAGATATTAAATTCCGCAAAATTAATTTTCACGTCCAGCCGTTTACAGTATTTTAAATTTGGTGGAATTTCAGTTTAAAACCACTGGGCAGCTGGAATTTTTCGTTATTTAATTTTCCGTGCTCTTGTTCATTTATAAATTTGTATGGGTTTGCGCTCTTTCGTAACGATGCGTTGTGGATGTACGTATTTAATTCGTTAGGTTGATTAAAATCAAATTGATCTTCCTTCAGCAGTTGTATAACAAAAATGAATCCAATCTTCTATAAAAAATTCGATATTCTATTTAATTGATTCTACTATATTATCATGGAAAAAAGTTAAAGCTATGTTTTTTAATTTATCGCACGAAGTGAAAGAGATGTACGTAAAAAACTGTTGAAATGGTTTAAAACTTTCAGGGCTTTTGATCAGAAATGCAGTAAATTGATTTGACATTTTTTTTTAAATTGGTTCTGTTAGTTACGCAATCGAATCGACACAAAATTCACTCGTTTAATGCAATGCAAAACATCATGTAAATATCTGTATATAAATTTCACGCGCGCTATAAATGTTCACAGTAAAGTTGACAAATATCAGGGAAATATGTAGCGCACAGAAAAATCCATAGACGTCACAAGTGCTCTCAAAAAATATATACGCGTTCCGAATCTCCTCAGAGAAGTATATAGGCTGCAAATGTGTATAACCGGAGGAAAAGTTAATGCACGATTCGAATGTATCAATACGTTGGCACTTTTTTCTTTTTTTTAAAAGAAGAGAGGAACGTGAAATGCGATCGGGTTGCGTGGGACTCGAACGGTTAATTAAGTGACTCTCGTCAGCCAGATCGTTACATGCTTATCGATTCGTTCTAATTTGTACCGTTGAAACACATTGACGAGAGTACGTGCATCGATAATAATTTAGTTTCCCTATTAGGACAAACATTTGTTTAACAAGGATTTAAGGATGTATTGGCTATACAATCAATCCCAAAAGTTTCCCAAACGAAAATTTGGAAGAAATTGAAGGAGTACTCCTTGGAAAAATCTCGGAAAAATCGAAAATTTTTTTTTGTTGTTTATTATTAGCAATGTTCTTCCGACGTCTGATTTCTTTTTAAAAAATGCGTTTCTAAAGTGCATAAACTTTTGGGATTGACTGCATAGCCAATACATCCTTAATGGCTAGTTGCAGACTAAATTCCTTTAATCATTTCATTGTTTTCATTACGCAGACACTCATAGGACAATCTAGATTCACTCAGAAGAGTAATGTATATAGAATAACCTTGCCATGGTTCAGCACCGGACTTCTTACCAGTGCAGGTAATTCCCTTTAGAAAATATTTAAAAATAGACGTCTAACCGAAACTCCAATTCGCAATGGCTATTGAGATATATGTATACTTATTTTTAATTTTTCATACGCAGTATAAAAATCATGTAATAATTGCGAATTTGTTTTGTTTTCACATTTATTAAATTATTCCGATATATTAAACTATTGCAAAGTACGGAGACTAGGCTCTAGACAATGAACTTACTATCAATTATGTAGCGTGAAATATATCTTATCCTTTTGTTAAGAGAGGACAAATAAGTTTGTTCAAAGATATCACGGTCAATGATATATAAAAATGCAATAAAAGAGGCGCGGTTATCGTTCGATTTACTTACAGGTCACAAGTGGCACACACGCAGGAAGATATTAACGCCTGCATTTCATTTTAATATGCTTCGGGAATTTACCGACATTTTCATCCAGGAAGGGGAACGGTTGATCGGGAAACTAAAGAGCGAAGGAAGGCCTGTTGTTAAAGATCTGAAGATGTTGATCAGCGAGCACACTTTGAATATTATTTGTGGTAAATTAAAATGATTTCGTATTCTTAAATGTTGGTCAATTGAATTTCTTGATTGCATGTGAGAGAAAATACTTGAAGAATGTAGTAAAAGATGCTACTTCCTTTAGAAACTGCAATGGGAACGACCCTTGTTGATAAAGGAAAATTTCAATTCAAATATCGCAAAGCCGTGCGCGATGTGGGAAATACTATAGTGTATAGGTAAAGAATTCGAATACGCTCTCGTATGTATCAGTACACAAACGATATTCGTATATCTTTCTTTATAGATTACTAAGACCATGGCTGCAAATCGACTTTGTCTTCTTCCTTACTCGTGTAGGGATGCTACAGTCTAAACTACTAAAAATATTACATGGCTTTACCAAACAGGTCGCGGCACGATTTTTATTTCTAATACTTAAAGCATCAGTGTTGCAATCTGTGATATGTTACAGATCATTAAAGAACGTAAGGAGTACCACGACAAGACCAATGGTCGCTCTCTAGCTGATTTCAATGACAAAGCGAATGAAGAGACTGATGATATAACATGCACTCGTACGTTGTGCAAGCGATTAATCGTATTTAATTAATGGTACTCATGACTTAAATGCTTATTTGCTTTCAGTTCGCAAAAAGAGGCTTGCAATGCTTGATTTACTTTTATCAGCTCATCGACAAAATCTAATAGACGACGAAGGCATTAGAGAAGAAGTCGACACGTTTATGTTCAGGGTTCGTTTGCGTCTTGGAAATAAAATTAGCTTTATCAATATACACTTCGTATCTAATGCTTTGCAATTTTCAACAGGGACACGATACCACGGCAGTATCCCTTTGTTTCACTATAATGCTTTTGGCTGAACATCCAGAGATTCAGGTAACTTCTCGAACGAAGAATAAAGGAAAACATTTAATACAATTCACGATAACGTTCTCAGGATCGAGCCAGGATTGAGGTGCAAAAGGTAATGGAAGCGAGCAACGGAAAGTTAAGTATGTCCGACCTTCAAAAATTACCATATCTCGAAATGTGCATCAAGGAGTCGCTAAGACTTTATCCAAGCGTGCATTTCATATCTCGTGCTCCAGAAGAGGACGTGATGTTAAGTACGTATCGAAACCACTTCTACAGTTTCTTATTTTCGGTTTATTAAATAACCGAGAATCTATTTCTATTTTTCAGGTAATTATCTAGTACCTGCCCACACTACAGTGAACGTGTACATATACGATACTCACAGAGACCCGAAGTTCTGGCCAAATCCGGACGTCTTCGATCCGGAACGGTTCACGCCTGAAAATTCTCATGGACGACATCCGTTCTCGTACATACCTTTCAGCGCCGGTCCAAGGAATTGTATCGGTAAGGAAACAGAATGAGAAAAACGTTTGGTAGCGTCGTTACAAATATTGAATTTCTACAGGCCAAAAATTCGCCATGTTGGAACTGAAAGCAACCTTGGCGTATCTCTTGTTTAATTTCATTTTCGAGCCTGTAGATTATCTTAAAGACGTCATTTGTGTACCAGAACTTGTCATACAAACGAAACATGCTCTTCGAACTAAGTTCGTTCCGCTGGAGGTTGTCAAACATTAGATGATGATCAGTACTTGGTACAGGATTCGTATTTGGTGGACTTGTTTTATTTGTAGGGAACACGATAAAAGAGGCGAGTTAAGTTGACGATCACTTTTAATAGATAAAATACGAAAACAATGTACAGATACAGAATTTACATTCCTAGCCGACGAAAGTTCGCTAGATAAAATGTTAATTATGTAGTAAAAAATGAATTAAAAATAAAGACGATATACACTTAA